GCGACACGTTTTTCGAGAAAAAATTTTATATTATTTAAAAGTTCTCGGTCGCTACAATGTCAATTTATAACTTTTACTTGTTATCTGATCAGCGTCAATTTGAAATTATAATAATAGATGATCTAAAAATGACTGAGAAGATATTCTTTTGTATGCTACATTTTCAAGCTGTATATTTCATCTTCTGTAATCAAATGTTTTCTAGGACATATTTGAAAGTTTGATATACAAGATGAAATGGAAGCTATGGAACATATGATTTACAATAATTTTACTATATAGTCTGATTTGTGCGATTTGCCTGCACATTGTTCAAACCCATATCTAAATCCACTAACTCTAAATTGTAGGTACTGCCTGCCAAAACATCCATACTATTTGTACAGAAATCTACTAAGTCTGAATTGTACAATCCTTCTAAGCAAATGCAGAAATATTTTTATCTAATAATCAAATATAATCATAATCATAGTACTTTATATCTGTATACATTTTCCCTCTTCCACATCGATTGATATGTATCTAATGCAGTCTCCTTCTCTAAACTACTCCTCATCTATATTTCCTCCTCTCCTCTGTATTTCCTGAGTTCTTTAGAAAAGGTAATAAATAATAAGATTTCTCTTCACAAAAAAGAATTTATTTCTCTATCTTCTATACTTCTATCTTATCTTCATATATTTCATAATCTATCATTTTAATGTTGGTAACTATATTTCCTTCTTCAATTGAAGCATGCAGGAAAATGAGTAAAAACTATAAAGTCATCCCAAATATCTATCCAGGCCAAAGTAACTGGATTGCCAAAGTTATTGTGGCTGAAAAGAGTTCACCCAAAACAGCCAGGAATGGTTCCTCTAGATACTTGAAAATGACATTAATAGACACAGATGTATGTCAGTCAAAAACCTTTCATCTCTTATATATTTGACCACAGAGCTATATTTCTTTAATATAGAAAATCACACAAGAAGAATGTTAATATTCTATTTTCCCTATTGCAAAAGGGAAATAAGGTGCAAGCTACAATCTTTGATCCCAACATAGCAGCTCTTGAAGATTGATTCGTTCTCTCAAAAACATACTTGATATCTATTGCAACAGTCAAATACACACCACCACAATTTAAGAAAAGCATAGGTAAATTCCAATGGACCATTTCTGGAATAACTAGAATACAAGAGATTCGAGAAGACCATAATGCACTACTGTCTTCTACATGTGTGTACTCATGTACCTACTACTACTTATTGTTTCTTTAAATGCATACAACTATTAATTATTTCTTTCTTTGCCAATATTTTTAGCTATCTTTGGAGCAACTATTGATATTCGACGGAAAGATTGATTCAAACACACTTTGGATCACAATCTTATGTTCAAGATGTGATTCTTGTCAATGANATATATATATATATATATATCACTTTATTTCAACACAAACTCTTATAACCTCCTATCTTTTTCCAAATTTTACAGGTTTCAAATAATGGTACTAACTATGTGGAATGGTTTTGTAGAGAATGAACAAACTGTTATTTCAGATAACTTGACCAAGAAACCGATTGTTGTTGGAAAACAACTGAATTTATCATCTTTCAAGGGTACCATTTACATCAATATATATTGATTCAGTCTTTCCTTACTCATAATTTCATTTATACAAATTTTCACTTCATGTTATAATATGTCTTTCAATATCAACGAAGCCCAGCGGCTCTTTCATCATTGATGCTCCTTT